CTGGTGTCTGGAGCAGTCCTTGCCGCACGAGGGCTCCCTCCGGCACCTGAGCCTGCCCTCCCTGGGGCCTTCTGACTCACAGGGAAACGCCAGGGCAGTCTCCAGCTTCTTCCCCTAGTTCTGCATCCCCTCCCTTGCTGTGGTCACCCAGCCACACAGGGCTTGTAGCAAGGTCCCCTCATAGGCAACTCCTCTCTTGTGCCTGCCCTGGCAGGGCTCCAAGGGGCCGCGAGGGAGGGAGGATGCACTGCTTCTCTCCCGTGCAGCCTCTCACTGCTGCCTCTGCAAGGCTCTGCCAGGGGCTGTCTGAGGCACAATGGTGGTGAGGTCCTTTCCGTGGCCTCCAGCCTGTCGCTCTTCCCCTCTGTTCTTTCTCTGGGGGAAAACTGCTCTCCCCCTTTTAAACAAGCCCCCTCAGCCAATCCCAGGCCAGGGCTCTTCCCGGGCTTTTGCTAAGGTCCCTCATTCCTGGGGTTACATCACTCCTCCCAGCAGCGACGTGTAGGGGGTGCACGGGCACCCCCTGAGAGTGCCGGTGCACCCCGTGACTGGCTGCGCTCGCCGCTTGGGGGGGGCGGAGGGAACAGGTGGGAGCACCGGTGCCCCCCCCACAAGCGCCAGCAGGTGGCTGCAGCCGCTCCCAGAAGCGGTCGCAGCCACTCCCGGAAGCAGCTGGAGTGATCGGCCACAGCAATCCACCGGCGCAGGATCAGTCATGGGTCTGCCCCCCCAGGCAGCGAGATTCGCCCTCCCCCTCGGTCAGCAGGATCGGCCGCGGGGGACCCCCCGACTAAGGTGGCATCAGTCACCCATGACTCCTCCCACTACAAAAAGGGCTACCTCCAGGGCAGCTTCACTTGCCCTCAGGGCAGACAGTGTCTCTACTGGGACAAGCTCTGTCTCTTCACACTGTCCTTCTGCAGGGCAGCCTTTCCTATCCTTTCAGTTAAGTACAATTTGAATGCTGCTACACCAACTTTCTGGACGTATGAGGAGCCTCACTGACTGGATACGTGGCTCCATGCACCATCACATTGGTGTGCAGGGTGACTCCACAGCTGGATCTGGCATGTGGAGTTGGGCTGGTGTATGGGGTTGGCCTGCAGCTGGATCCAGCATGCCATACTGGGCCAAGCTGGGCTAGCACCTAAGGTCAGATCTGCAGATGGGCCCTACACACCAACACACACTGGATCAGGCCTGCATACTGCCCCTTCCTGTGGTAACCTGCCCTGTAAGGCTGGATATTTTGGGCACCACTGATGTGAAGAGATTGTCACGGTCCCTTCGGTCTCATGACTGTCTAGTCAGATCTTCTGCATCAGAATTTCATCTGCTACATGGGAAGGAATAATCCCTCCCTACTGCATAGTAGTGAGAGCTATGAAACAGAATAATTTGTGGTTGGACTCAGGTCACCCAGTCTCAAAGGAAAGCTTCCAAATGGGGAGGATTTTACCGCAGCTCTTGGCAATCTGTTCCAGTAGTTAATCACCATCACTACTAAAAGTTATGTTTCATTTCCAGTTTGAAACTTCTGTTTCCAGCCACTGGATCTTGTTATGTCTTTGTCTTTGAGGTTAAAGAGAATATTAATTCCTGGATTAATAGACAGAGTATAAATTTACTAAGGGAAAAAATGTTTATTCATGCTATGACAAAATTCAGCAAGCTAATCTCTCTCTCTCTCTAAAAAGAGGACAGAAGAGTGAGTGAAAAATGAGCAGTCTTATTCAACTGTTGTAATGAAAAACTGAAGATCATAAGCAGATGATTCTCATGGCTTATTCCTGTAAGGATTAGTTTAAAGGAAAGGGGCCTCTAGGAGAAAAAGAAAAAGAGGTTGCCTCAAGATGGCCTTTAAGGGCACTTGCACATGTGATAATGTTGCCATGTACACATAACAAAAATTCCCCTTTGTGTGGCTGAATGGCATCACACTTTACATGTATGTGAGTTTTTAGGGGTTTAAGATTAGTTCTCATTGTTACGAACTAAACTACATCCCAGTGGGCCCCCCACCAGTGGGCCGCTACCTTCCACATTGGGCACTCCTACTCCTTGGCCGGCGCTCGTGGTGGGGGCATTGGTGCTCCTGCCTGCCTGCTGCCCGTCACCTGGGCAGGGAGCGCAGCCAGTCAGGGGGTGCACCAGAGCTCTCAGGGAGTGCACATGCACCCTTGTGGACCCCCTACACCTCGCCACTGGTCCGACAGTTGCAAATTGCAACTATGTGACCATAAATCTATCACATGTACATGGTAATTCACTGAATTACATGTACTAAGACCACCGGGTGTTGCTACAATTTTTTGTGCAGAGAGACTCCTTGTCCAACAGGTATCGCTACAATTTGCAGGTATTTACAGGTAATTTGCAGTGTAATTTGCAGGTATTTGTGTGCAATGAATGTTTTAGCACACCAGGTGTGGCTGCAGAGCCCAACATGAATCAATCTTTTGCTGACCTCTTTTTCTTACTTCACTAAATAAATAGTTCAAAGAAACTTTCTTGTGGTTGTCCTCTCCTATTTCACTGTACTGACAGCTGGGTCTTCTAGGGTGTGTTGGGGAGATGAAGATCCAGGTGGGTGAGCTATGCCAGGCATCCAGGAGCACAGCAGAAACCAGTAAAATCACAGTCCCAGGTGTCCAGAGTCTCCAAGCACCCCCATTTTACATCATATCCAGGCTCTGAGCAGAACAATGCAAAGGCCAAACGCTGCATTGAGGGTTGGTTGGCAAATGTGGGTGTGAGTTCTTCATGCTCACTTTTTTTAATAGGTCCCATTAGTAGCACAGCCAGAGCTATGCCAGGCACTGGGGTGCAAGAGCCAACCAGTAAAATTTCAGTCTCAAGTGTCCCAAGTCTCCAAGCACCCCCTTCTTACATGAGACATGGTCAGCTGGAAAAAAGGGGGCACTGAGAAGAATAATGAAATTGCTGAACCCCGAATTAAGGGCTGGTTGGCAAATGCGGGTGTGAGTTTCCCAAGACCACTTTCTTGAATAGGTCCCATTAGCACATCCAAAGCTATGCCAGGCATTGACTTGCCAGAGGCAACCAGTAAAACCTCAGTCCCAGGTCTCCAAGCACTCTCTTTTAGCATGGGATGCATTCAGTGGAAAGAAAAGGGGACACTGAGAAGAACAATGAAATGGCCAAACCCTGAATTAAGGGTTGCTTGGCACATGTGGGTGTGAGATCCCTGAGCCCATTATTTTCAGTAGGTCCCATTAGCACATCCAGAGCTAGAAGCAAGCACCCTCTTTTTAACATGAGATGCGTTCAGCCCTAAAAAAGGGGGTGCTGAGCAGAACGCTGCAATGGCTGAACCCTGAATTAAGGGTTGGCTGGCTGATGTGGGTGTCAGGTCCCCGTGCCCTATTTTTGAATAAGTCACACGAGGCGATCCAGAGCTATGCCAGGCATTGAGGCGTCAACAGCAGAGCAGGTCATCTCTGATCCTGTTGTGTGTGTTCTGCTCTGTGCATTTAACACCTCATAGGAGTATAATGGGCCCCCAAAGTTCACTGAGCATTCTCCTTTGGGAGACAGTGTAGAAGTTTTTGGTCAAACAGCCTAGAAGAAAACATGCACCAACCCAGAGAAAATCCAGCCACCCACCTCAGCCATGGCTGTGGGTGAGGGGCACTGGCAGTGCCAGGGGGCTGGGGGTCAGGAGTGAGGGGCACCAGCATTGCCTGGGGGCCAGGGGACTGTGGGTCACAAGTAAGGGGCACCAGCAGGGCCAGGGGTCTGGAGGTCAGGACTGAGGGTCAGCAGCGGGGTGGGGAGGAGAGGGTGTGTGTATGTGTGTAGTACATTCTTCTCTTTGGCATTTCAATTATTCTTTGCTTTTTATGTCTTAACAAATAGGCTCACAAATTCCAAAAAAGAGAACAAAAATAAAATGAAAGGGGAAAAAAATATTCTTTGCATTTAACTGTCTCTGTGTTTATAAGAGCTCAACAAATATGGAAGGGAATTAAACTACATGGTCCATATCCTCAGCTGCTATAAAGATGCTTTTCTGTTCATTTCTC